CTTCCACGTGCAAGGGAATGGGGGGAGCGAGAAAGCATCTGCCAAGGAGGGAGCAGATCCTCCTCCTCTCAATACTTGGATACTGGACTCCGGAGCAGCATATCACATGACCCCAAGGGCGGACCTGCTTGATGAGATTGGGAGAACGAGCATCATTGAAATGAACTCAGGATGCGGGCAGAAAATGAAAGTGATGGGGATCGGCAAGGCAGCCTTCAAGGGAGCTGATGGGAAGCCAGTCATCCTAGAAGACGTATTCTTGGTTCCGGAGCTGAAAGGGAATCTCATTTCTCTAAGGCAAATGGGAATTGCAGGTGTTTGCACGGCAACAAATGGAGCCGAGACGTTCCCGGGAAAGCTCCGTGAGCGAGTTTTGTGAGACCTGCATGAAGACAACGACCTGCGTGATGAGCTATGGCATGTGCCACTGGTGCCATGGAAGGAAGTGGTAGCTCAAAAGCAGAATGTGGCTTGCAGCTGCAAAGGGGAGTGTGCTACAGTGGCTGCCGGAACGATCAAGGAGCTCAAAATGACAGTCGAGCTGCTGGTGCAGCAGTTGAAGCAGGTCAACAGTCGACTTGCAGCAGCTGAAAAGAGAAATTTGTCCTGTGCTGATGAGAAAAATGGTGCAGATGTCAAGGGGAGCATAGTTGAGGTTGCTCCTGAAGATGAAGAGAAAGAAGCTCCCAAGAGTGACACTCGTGAGCAGCAGAAACACAAGGCCATGGTACAGATGAGGGGTGCTGCTAAGAAGGAGAAATCTTTGGTGCTGAATGTGGGAGGTTATGGAGCTAATGGGGCTAAGGTGTTTGGTGAACCCAAGGAGAAGCCGAATGTGAAGGAAGCTGAACTGTGGGGGAGCAGGCAAGTGCATTGCCACTGCTGTACCTCATCTCGTGTCCATGCTGCTTGCCCATGAGGGAGACCCGGATGCACCGGACATCCCGACCCCGCGCTCTTACGCAGAGGCGATAGAGGGTCCCTACTCCTTTCAGTGGCAGGCAGCCATGGACGCCGAGATGGCTTCCTGGAAGTCCACAGGCACCTACGTAGACGAGGTTCCCCCACCTGGGGCGAACATCGTCAGTGGCATGTGGATCTTCAGGGTGAAGCGGCCGCCGGGTTCTCCGCCTGCCTTCAAGGCGCGTTATGTTGCACGTGGCTTCAGTCAGCGACAGGGAGTTGACTTCTTCCAGACCTTCTCCCCTACCCCAAAGATGACCACTCTTCGGGTACTGCTGCACGTAGCTGCTCAGCGTGACTACGAGCTCCACTCGCTTGACTTCAGCACAACCTTTCTACAGGGCAGCCTGCACGAGGAGATCTGCCTGCGCCGCCCACCTGGCTTCACTGGGTCGTTTCCTGCTCGTACCCAGTGGAGCCTCCGCCGACCAGTCTACGGTCTCCGCCAGGCACCCCGTGAGTGGCACGACACACTGAGGACCACTCTTGCTACTCTTGGTTTTACTCCTTCCACTGCTGACCCTTCTCTGTTTCTACGCACTGACACCACTCTGCCGCTGTTCTACGTTCTCGTGTACGTAGATGACCTTGTCTTTGCTACTGCTGACACTGAGGCACTCGCCAACGTGAAGTCCGAGCTGCAGAAGAGACACACGTGCACCGACCTGGGGGAGGTGACAAGCTATCTTGGCTTGCGGATCACCCGGGACAGAGCACAGCGCACCATTACCTTGACTCAGTCACACATGGTGCAGCAGGTCCTTCAGCGCTTCGGCTTCACGTACTCCTCGCCACAGTCCACTCCTCTGCCTACCGGTCACTCGCTCTCAGCTCCACCTTCGGACGAGTCCGTAGAGCCGAGTGGCCCGTATCCAGAGCTTGTGGGCTGCCTCATGTACCTGATGACTTGCACACGACCTGACCTTGCATACCCTCTCAGCCTTCTGGCTCGCTACTTTGCTCCTGGTAGGCACCGAAAGGTGCACTGGGATGCTGCGAAGAGGGTGTTGCGCTACTTGTGCAGTACATCGGGCATGGGGCTCGTGCTTGGAGGACGGGCTCGAGTTGTCCTCACTGGTCACGCTGACGCCTCCTGGGTTGACGACTTGGCTACGCAGCGGTCATCACAGGGCTACACCTTCAGTCTTGGTTCCGGTTCTGTCTCTTGGCGGTCTACCCGCTCTTCTTCCGTTCTCAGCTCCAGTTGTGAGGCTGAGATCTACGCCGGGGCCATGGCTGCACAGGAGCTACGCTGGCTCACCTACCTGCTGACCGACTTGGGAGAGGCGCCTCGTTCTCCTCTAGTTCTGTACGTCGACAACAAGGCCATGCTGGCCTTGTGTCAGGAGCACAGATTGGAGCACAGAACGAAGCACATTGCTCTGCGCTACTTCCTTGCTCGAGAGTTGCAGCAGCGTGGCCAGCTTCGTCTTGCTTACGTGGCCTCACAGGCCAACACTGCTGATGTTTTCACCAAGGCACTTCAGCCTTGTGATCATCAGCGTTTCTGTACTGTTCTAGGCCTTGTACCTACTGTGCCTCACTTGCTTACTTCTTGACTCTGCTTGTAATGTACTCTTTATACATATACCTGCATGCTTATACTTGCTAGGTTGTGTTCACTGTATTGTTTGCTTTCCTTTATATAACTCTGCATGTGAACTGGCCTTGTGGCCCTTTGCTTGTGCTCAGACTGTGTGGTGACTTTGTGATCCACCCTGAGCTTGCTTTGCCTTCTTGACTGGTCTTGTGACCTCTTGTTCTCCCCTACTTTGCCTATGGGGGTGTGTCAAACTTATATATGCTATAGTCTGTTTAGGCTGTAGTGGGGTAGTTCTTATAGGGTACAACACTTTTAGGTTTCCTACTTGTACCCACCTGCTTCCTAGTTCATTCATTTTCCGTTCCTGATTCTAACACGAGATGCAGCTGCAATCCAGCTGGGCGTTGTCGCGTTGATCTGATTGCCTGGCACATTCTGCATGAGGATACATCATGCTGCACGTCAGAGGATGAGTCAGGCCAATAACTCTGACGGTGCAACATATTCTGGGTTTTATCAACCCAAAATTTCGAGTCGTGTACTTCTTGAATTAGAAGTTCGCGCAATAGGGGATAAGCGGGGACCCGAATTCGGGCGGTTTCGGCTTTTAGGCAATAAGTCCCCTTCTGCGTCGTCGCCTGTCTGTGACTTCCGGTGGGTGAATAGTCCCGGAAGTAGCGGGTTCGAATGGGTAATCAGTACTGCAGCGGATTGTACTGTCAGGCAGGTCAGGGCGTTGTCGATGTTATTTTCCCCTTTCTTATACGTGATGCGGTAGGTGAAGTGCGACTCCATGTAATCGAGCCACCTGATTTGTCGTGGGTTGAGGTTGGGTTGCGCGCAAAAATGCTGTAGCGATTTATGGTATGTGCGAACAGTGACGTTGGCACGTGTCATGTAGCAGCGCCAGAGCTTGAATGCGTGGATGATGGCGAGCATCTCCTTGTCATGTATTGGATAGTTGCGTTCGGCTGCCTGTAGCTTGCTTGACTCATAGGCCATTGGTTGTAAAACGTTGCCGAAATCCTGTAGGATTACAGCAGATGATGGCGAAATCTGAGGCGTCGGTGATGAATTCGAACTGCTTGGATGGGTCGGCGATGCAGAGAGCCGGAGGGGACACCAGAAAATTCTTCAACTCTTGAAAAGCGGCCTTAGCCTTCTCCCCCCACACAAAATTCCTGACCTTGTATAGCAGGTCAGTCAGCGGGCCGGTCAGTTTTCATGTTGTCACGGGAGATTGCATATCCCAAGAACTCCAACTCCTGCTTAAAAAGCTCGCACTTAGAACCCTTGGTGATGACGCGGTTTTCTTGAAGGCGCTTAAATAATGCGTCGAGGTCGCGGAGGTGTTGGTCACATTTCCTGCTAAAAATCAAATTGTCGTCCAAGTACACGACAACACACTCGTCGAGAAGATCGCGAAACACCCTGTTCATGGCCAGTTGAAATGTTGAAGGCACGTTTGTGAGGCCAAAAGACGTCACTGTGAACTCGTAGCTCCCGTAGCGGCCTCGAAACGCGGTCTTGTGACAATCGTCGGCGAAGACTCGATCTAGTGGTAACCGCCACGTAGGTCGACTTTCGAAAACTAACGAGCGCCGCGAAGTTGATTGAGGAGGTCGTCGGTGTGTGGGATAGGTGTGAGAATACTAGCGTGACTTAGGATCCATGGCGAGGGAGAGAAGCTAAGCATTGAGTGTCGAGAGAATTGGAAAGGAGAATGAGTGGTTTCACTATAGAAAGTTGGGATACAAATTGCAAACCCTAAATTGGGTTGTACTCACTACAGAGTACCCCACTACAGGCTAAACAGCAAATACATTCTGACACACCCCCATAGTCAAAGTGGGGTATAATCAGCAAAGCAAGCAGTCATAGAGCAGGTTCACAAGTACAAGCAAAGCTAGAGGCATACACAAAAGGCAAGTGAGGAGGAGGCTGGACTGTGAGAGGAGAGGAGATAGGAGGCGACTGCTGATGCTGCAGACACTCAGGCAACAGGAGCGGCGCGCACTGTGGCTACCGGGGCCGTATCCCCGGACTACAGGAGTAACTGGCTCTGCGGCTAACACTGAGCGGCAGGAGCAACGGACCCACAGGCGACTGGCGCAGCAGGCTCGCTGGGCTACCGGAGATTGTAGCCTCCAGACTACTGGCGCTGCTGGCGACACGACGGCTACCTCCGCTCAACCTCCCCCAACTGTCCCACCCCCCTTTCACACACCCCTTGCTGCACCCCTAGCTTCACTCCCACGTCACCCCCCTAGCACCACTCCCTCGACTCCCACACACCCACCCCCCTCAGCGGCAGCTGCAGCAGTGGGAGACGAAGGTGGAGGAGGAGGAGGGGACGGTTCACACACCCGCCACCCCCATACCCGCCACCCCGCAGTTGCACCCACACCCGCCACCCCCATACCCTCCCCCCACTGCTGCACCTGCAGCAGGGGATGGAGGAGAAGGGGGGGGGGGGGGGGGGGGGTGGCTGTGCATGGCGCGTGCAGAGGGCAGCAGGGCGCACGGGGCGCACAGGGCAGCAGGGCGCACAGGGCAGCAGGGCAGCAGGGTGCGCGGGGCGCACAGGGCTGCAGGGCGCGCGGGGCGCACAGGGCAGCAGGGCAGCAGGGCGCACAGGGCTGCAGGGCAGCAGGGCGCGCGGGGCAAACAGGGCAGCAGGGCGCACAGGGCTGCAGGGCAGCAGGGCGCACAGGGCTGCAGGGCAGCAGGGCGCGCGGAGCGCGCAGGGCTGCAGTGCGCCCAGGGCGTGCAGGGCAGCAGGACAGCAGGGCGCACAGGGCGTGCAGGGCTGCAGGGCGCACGGGGCGCAGCAGGACTGCAGGGCGCGTGGGGCGCGCAGGGCAGCAGCAAGGGCTGTAGCGGCAACAGCAAGGGCTGTAGCGGCAGCAGCAGGGCAGCAGGGCGCACAGGGCTGCAGGGCAGCAGGGCGCGCGGGGCGCGCAGGGCTGCAGGGCGCGCGGGGCGCACAGGGCTGCAGGGCGTGCGGGGCGCACAGGGCAGCAGGGCAGCAGGGCGCACAGTGCTGCAGGGCAGCAGGGCGCGCGGGGCAAACAGGGCAGCAGGGCGCACAGGGCTGCAGGGCAGCAGGGCGCACAGGGCTGCACGGCAGCAGGGCGCGCGGGGCGCGCAGGGCTGCAGTGCGCACAGAGCGTGCAGGGCAGCAGGACAGCAGGGCGCGCAGGGTGCGAAGGGCTGCAGGGCGCGCGGGGCGCACAGGGAAGCAGGGCAGCAGGGCGCGCGGGGCGCAGCAGGGCTGCAGGGCGCGCGGGGCGCGCAGGGCAGCAGCAAGGGCTGTAGCGGCAGCAGCAGGGCAGCAGGGCGCGCGGGGCGTGCAGGGCTGCAGTGCGCGCAGGGCACGCAGGGCAGCAGGACAGCAGGGCGCGCAGGGCTGGGGGAGGGGGGGGGGGGTGGGGGGGGGGGGCTGATGCTGCAACTCCCCTCCCCCCCACTGCTGCTGCAGATCCCCTCCCCCCCACTGCTGCACCCGCAGCAGGGGGATGGAGGAGAAGTGGGGGCGGGGGGGGCTGGGGGGGCCTGGTGCTGCAGATCCCCTCCTGCCTCCCCCTGAACCTCCAAGCTCTCCCCCCCTCCCAACACAGGGTGCGGCAGGGAGAGAGAGAGGAGAAAAGGGCAGGGGGGGGGGGGGGGGGCTGATGCTGCAAATCCCCTCTCCCACTGCTGCTGCAGATCCCCTCCCCCCCACTGCTGCACCCGCAGCAGGGGTGGAGGAGAAAGGGGGGGGGGGGGGGGGCGGGGGGGGCTGGTGCTGCAGATCCCCTCCTGCCTCCCTCTGAACCTCCAAGCTCCCCCCCCCTCCCAACACAGGGTGCGGCAGGGAGAGAGAGAGGAGAAAAGGGCGGGGGGGGGGGGGGGGGGGCGGTGCAGGAGCCGCTCGGGCGACAGCAGGATGCGCCACACCCGCCACCCCCATACCCTCCCCCCCACTGCTGCACCCGCAGCAGAGAGATGGAGGAGAAGGGGTGGGGGGGCGGGGGGGGGGGCTGGTGCTGCAGGTCCCCTCCCCCCACTGCCGCATCCGCAGCAGGGGGAGATAGGAGAAGGGGGGGGGGGGGGCTGGTGCTGCAGATCCCCTCCCCCCCCACTGCTGCACCCGCAGCAGGGGGGAGGTAGGAGAAGGGGCGGTGCAGGAGCCGCTCGGGCGACAGCAGGTTGGCCACACCCGCCACCCCCATACCCTCCCCCCACTGCTGCACCCGCAGCAGAGAGATGGAGGAGAAGGGGGGGGGGGGGGGGAGGGGGGGGGGGGGGGGGGGCTGGTGCTGCAGGTCCCCTCCCTCTCCTACCACAAGGTGCAGCAGGGAGAGAGAGAGGAGGAGGCGTGGCGGCAGCTGCTGCTGCTGAGGCACATCCGCCACCCCCTCACACCCTCTCCCCGCCATCCCCATGGAGGGGGGGAAGGGGGGGGAGGGGGGCGGGGGCGGAGCTGCGCGTGCGACTGTAAGGTACGCGGGCAGGAGGAACCCCCTCTTGCCACCCCCTCACCCACCATGTTGCAACAGGGCACCGGGGCCGCGGTTAGGGGCGGCAGGTCGCGAGGGGCCATGGCTAGGGGTGACGGGGCCATGGCTAGGAACGGGGCCGGGTGCTAGGCAGGTACGGGGCCGGGCGCTGGGCAGGTACGGGGCCGGGCTCTGGGCAGGTACGGGGCCGGGCGCTGGGCAGGTACGGGGCCGGGCGCTGCGCAGGTACGGGGCCGGGCGCTGGGCAGGTACGGGGCCGGGCGCTGCGCAGGTACGGGGCCGGGCGCTGGGCAGGTACGGGGCCGGGCGCTGGGCAGGTACGGGGCCGGGCTCTGGGCAGGTACGGGGGCCGGGCGTTGGGCAGGTACGGGCCGGGCGCGGGCTAGGTACGGGGCCGGGCGCGGGCTAGGTACGGGGCCGGGCGCTGGCTAGGTACGGGCTGAGCAAGGGCAAGAGACATGGCTGGGCGCTGGGCGAAGGACGCGGCCAGGCGCGGGCTTGGTACGGGCCGGGCGCGGGCTAGGTACGGGGCCAGGCGGGCGAGGTACGGGCTGGGCGCGGGGCTAGGAACGGGGCCGAGCGTGGGCTAAGTACGGGCCGGGCGCGAGGCTAGGTACGGGCCGATCGCGGGCTAGTTACGGGGCCAGGCGCGGGCGAGGTACGGGCCAGGCGCGGGGCTAGGAACGGGGCCGAGCGCGGGCTAGGTACGGGCCGGGCGCAAGGCTAGGTACGGGCCGAGCAACGGGCTAGGTACGGGCCGGGCGACGGGCGAGGTACGGGCCGGGCGACGGGCTAGGTACGGGCCGGGCGACGGGCTAGGTACGGGCCGGGCGACGGGCTAGGTACGGGCCGGGCGCGGGGCTAGGAACGGGCCGATCGCGGGCTAGGTACGGGCCGATCGCGGGCTAGGTACGGGCCGGGCGCGGGCGACGGAGTCGACGGGGCCAGCGGGGCCGAGGCGACGGGGCCAAGGGGCCGAGCCTAGGGGCTAGGGGCGACGCCAAGGGGCGACGGGCCGGGGCCTAGGCTAGCAGGGCAGTAGGTGTTTCGAATGTTATGCTCTTAATACCATGTGAGAATACTAGCGTGACTTAGGATCCATGGCGAGGGAGAGAAGCTAAGCATTGAGTGTCGAGAGAATTGGAAAGGAGAATGAGTGGTTTCACTATAGAAAGTTGGGATACAAATAGCAAACCCTAAATTGGGTTGTACTCACTACAGAGTACCCCACTGCAGGCTAAACAGCAAATACATTCTGACAATAGGATATCGAGATTTGATCGTAACGCAGTTGAGCACACAATAGTCAATACACATGCAAAGGCCGCCGTCCATTTTCGGTGTGAACAGGAATCAGGGCTGCGAAGGAGGATGTACTAGGTCAGAGAACCCTTTTTCTAGCATGTTGTCCAACTGGCTTCGTAATCCCTCGAGTTTTTGCTGGGTCTTGCCGCCAATGTGTACGAATAATCGGTTGCGCGTCGGGCTCCAGTTGTATTTTGTGGTCCTCGGGGCGTTCTAGAGGTAGTCCATGTGCCAGATCATTGGAGAAAATATCGGGGTATGTGTCAACTCATCGGGGACCGCTGCGCAGAGTTCTCAATGTCGGTTCCGTCGGTGTCGGCTGCCAACTCGCGCAATCGGACCGCGTACATCTGTGCTCCCTTGTAAGTGTCCTATTGCTTTGACGCATGTGGCTTTAATGTTGTCCTAAGTCCACGCGTGCAATTTAATTAGCCCTTCGTGCTTGCTGATGCTGCAAGACCTCGTCGCCCAGTAGATGATTAGGTTGTGCTGTCGCAGTCAATCATATCCCAGGAGCACATCGCAGCCATCCAGTGTTGTCGCGAAGAACTTCATGCTGAAGCCGAAATCGTTGTTGCATTCGATCCGTACTGTCCGTGTTTCTTCCAGTATCGCCAGAGGCGTCCCATCCACGAGGCTGTCAGAATTATGCTGTTATAACTGCATGTAGGTCTAGCGTTAGTGTAGTTATCTTGATATCCTGCTTGGTGGTGTACCCCCCCCTTGTCCTGCCCTATATGTTGTGAACCTCTCCATAGTGAAATCATTCCTTCTCATTCTCTCGACTCTCGCCTCCTTGGCCCCAACCATCTCGACCTCCTTTGGCCTAGGCTACTAAGCCTAGGCCCAATCAACCTAACCAATCTTGCTACTATTTCAACATGGTATTCAGAGCAGGAACCTTCCTGCTGCCTTCCTTAACGGGCCCACCATTTTGCTTCCGCTACATGTCGTCCTGCCGCGCGCCTAGGGCGCGCGGCGATTTTCTGCCCGCCGTGTGCTCGGGGCGCACGGCGGTTTTCTGTCCGCCGTGCGCCCCGGGCGCGCGGCGTCTACCTGCCTGCCCGTCGTGCGCCCTGTGACGCGCGACGGTGTCCTGATCCGCCGCGGACCCGCCCCTGGCGCCCGCGACGGTGCCTTGCGCCGCCGCGGACCCGCCTCTGGCGCCCGCGACGGTGCCCTGAGCCGCCGCAGACCCGCCCTTGGCGCCCGCGACGGTGCCTTGCGCCGCCGCGGACCCGCCCCTGGCGCCCGTGACGGTGGCCTGAGCCGCCGCGGACCCACCCCTGGCGCCCGCGACGGTGCCCTGGGCCGTTGCGGATCCGCCCCTGGCGCCCGCGACGGCGCCTCTGCTTCACCTCGCGCCTGCCTTCGAGCAGCCGCCCCAGCCTCACATGCGCCTGCACTCGGTGCAGCCGCCCCTACCCTACCCGCGCCTGCCCTCGGTGCAGCCGCCCCTGCCCTTCCCTGTGCGCCACCCCTCTGTGGACGTGGGGCGGCTTCTTCCCCGCCACCCCCCCCCCCCTCCTCCTTCTTCTTCCTGCTGCGCGTGCAGTCGTGGGGGGGAGGGTATGGAGGTGGCGGGTATGGGGGTGTGGGTGTCTGTGATCCCCTTCCCCTCCTCCTCCTTTCGTTCCCACTGCTGCAGCTGCCGCTGGGGGGAGGGTGTGAGGGTGTGGGGGAGCCAGGGGAGTGGCATGTGGGTGGCGGGTGTGACACCATCCAACCCCCCGTCCCTCTGAGGTGGGGGGGGGGGGGGGGGGGAGGAGAGTGAAGGAGTGGCAGGAGTGCCTGCCCCCTTGCTGTTGTACCTACTGTGTTACCTTGCCTGCTGTTGCTGTTTTCTCTGTTCGAGGTGTACCCCTGCAGGTTGTGTTCTGCACTTAGCTATTCCTGCATGCAGTTACGGGGGGATGTCAGAATTATGCTGTTATAACTGCATGTAGGTCTAGCGTTAGTGTAGTTATCTTGATATCCTGCTTGGTGGTGTACCCCCCCCTTGTCCTACCCTATATGTTGTGAACCTCTCCATAGTGAAATCATTCCTTCTCATTCTCTCGACTCTCGCCTCCTTGGCCCCAACCATCTCGACCTCCTTTGGCCTAGGCTACTAAGCCTAGGCCCAATCAACCTAACCAATCTTGCTACTATTTCAACAGAGGCGAGCGTCGATTTTGGGCAGGCACATGTCCAGGTGCAACTTGCATTTTTTTGTTGTCGCCTGATTGAAGAGGTTATGGCTAGCCCCACCATCGACCAACATTTTTTTTTCTTTTAACACCGTGCCAACAACCAGCACAAGGTGATCCACATGATTATCCCCGTTATTTGGCCAAGTGCGATCGATTGCATGGATCGGAATTACGACTCGGTGGGGATGTTGGTGTTCGGGCGACGGAACACAATCAGTAAGGGGCCCGTTAATTACTGACTCCTCCCATTTCCCTGCTCCTTCGCGTCGTTCCTCTTCCCGGGGCGTTTTCTCGGGGCACTCTCTTGATATGTGACCCGGCTTCCCACACTTCTAACACAACCCTGTGAAAGGGCGGTCAGGTGTGTGGACTCCGTTGATTGGAGCCCGCTGGGTCTGTCCGCGAAAACGGTTTTCCTCCCGGGAACCTGCCTTTCCCACTGCATTAGCACATCTGTGGATTTTGTCAACCGTATGGCTTCTAGAAACGTAGTCAGGCGGCTCCGGCGGACCTTGAACTGTATCTCATATTTCAGGCCGCTAATGTATTTTTCCAACCGCTCCGATTCCGCCATGTCGTCCACTTGGTCAGCCAGAGCCATAAATGCCGCGGTGTAGTCATGAACAGAAGCCAGCTACGACTAGGCATGCAATTTCATGCGAGCTTGCTCCGAGGTGGATACATGCTTGAAGCAATCTCGCTAGGCTGCGCCCGACTCCTTCCCCGTCCGAATCTTGGTCATACCGAAGACTAATGTTGCCACTTGATTAGCGAAATTTGAGGTCCAGTTTGCCGCATGTGTCACACCTGTCAAAGTCCCCATGTCCAAGGTTTGGCGCCACCATTCAAGCGCTGGGCCTTGCAGAAGAGAAACCGCGTAATTAATACGCGTGGCATTGTCTTTGACATTCGCTGCAGTGAAGAAGACTTCAACACCGAAGAGCCACCCCTTGACTGTAGTGTGCTTGTCCATAGGATCGAACGGGGGCGGGCTCGCAGGTTTGATCTTTATCATTGTCTCTACTATTATCGTCGCTACCACTCGCTGCCTATCCTCTTCTTCAAAGTCATGTGTGAGCGCGTCCAGACGATTCCTCACCTCTTGAATATTGCCTTCACCTTCTTCGACATGCGGTTTCTGACGCGCTTCACCTCGCATCTGGCGTAGCTTGGAATATTCTTCTCGTAACTGCTCCACTTCAGTCGTTAGCACCTTCACAGTAGTCTGCATGTCTGCCATTTGCTGCATAAGCTGATTGAAAGCCGCTTGATCCATGAGTCGCATGCTTCGTTAAGTAGGCAAAGGGATATCTGTGGCTTTCAGGCAAGTGGGAAGCAAGAACTATTGGAGTCGGGCAGGTTTAAGTTAATGAACCTTGCAATCAACCGTCTTGCAGCCCATTGTATCAGCCAACCCGTGCTACTAAACTACCCTCAAAAAAACGCAGGGAACTAGGAAAGTAGCTCTGATACCAGGTGTTATGAGTTGTAAAACAGAGTTGCGCAAAAAACGAATATCGAAGCTGTGACTAATTTCACTCACAATACAATGAAGCAAATACTATTAGGGCATGTTCCTACGCTCTTATCAGGCAAACCTCTTGTCAGCCTTGCCTGGTAAAAGTAGCGAGGGTTTATGGGTTTAGGAAATTTTCAGTGTGTTTTTACGCGAGCTTGATGTTGTTGTAACTCAAGGTTTGCAGTGGATGGAATAAGTATGCTAAGGTTGAGAGAAGACAATGAAGGCTCTGTAACGACCTTGTTAATAGATTGAAAGAGAACAAGACGATTAAAGGATAGTGGTACAAGAATATAGATAGCAATCCTAGCTAGCCATGTACTCTGAGGGGTACATTCCCTTATTAACTGAATTGCGTTGCTACATCAACCACGAATATTGATATTCTTGACA